GGTGCTGTGTTAGCTGTGATGTGGTGCTGTGTTAGCTGTGGTGTGGTGCTGTGTTAGCTGTGGTGTGGTGCTGTGATGTGGTGCTGTGTTAGCTGTGATGTGGTGCTGTGTTAGCTGTGGTGTGGTGCTGTGTTAGCTGTGGTGTGGTGCTGTGATGTGGTGCTGTGTTAACTGTGGTGTGGTGCTGTGTTAGCTGTGATGTGGTGCTGTGTTAGCTGTGGTGTGGTGCTGTGTTAGCTGTGGTGTGGTGCTGTGATGTGGTGCTGTGTTAACTGTGGTGTGGTGCTGTGTTAGCTGTGGTGTGGTGCTGTGATGTGGTGCTGTGTTAACTGTGGTGTGGTGCTGTGTTAGCTGTGATGTGGTGCTGTGTTAGCTGTGGTGTGGTGCTGTGTTAGCTGTGATGTGGTGCTGTGTTAGCTGTGATGTGGTGCTGTGATGTGGTGCTGTGTTAGCTGTGGTGTGGTGCTGTGTTAGCTGTGATGTGGTGCTGTGTTAGCTGTGGTGTGGTGCTGTGTTAGCTGTGATGTGGTGCTGTGTTAGCTGTGATGTGGTGCTGTGATGTGGTGCTGTGTTAGCTGTGGTGTGGTGCTGTGTTAGCTGTGGTGTGGTGCTGTGTTAGCTGTGATGTGGTGCTGTGATGTGGTGCTGTGTTAGCTGTGGTGTGGTGCTGTGTTAGCTGTGGTGTGGTGCTGTGTTAACTGTGGTGTGGTGCTGTGTTAGCTGTGGTGTGGTGCTGTGTTAGCTGTGGTGTGGTGCTGTGTTAGCTGTGGTGCTGTGTTAGCTGTGGTGTGGTGCTGTGTTAGCTGTGGTGTAGTGCTGTGGTGTGGTGCTGTGTTAACTGTGGTGTGGTGCTGTGTTAGCTGTGGTGTAGTGCTGTGGTGTGGTGCTGTGTTAACTGTGGTGTGGTGCTGTGTTAGCTGTGGTGTAGTGCTGTGGTGTGGTGCTGTGTTAACTGTGATGTGGTGCTGTGTTAGCTGTGATGTGGTGCCTTGATGTGGTGCTGTGTTAGCTGTGGTGTGGTGCTGTGATGTGGTGCTTTGATGTGGTGCTGTGTTAGCTGTGCTGTGGTGCTGTGGTGTGGTGCTGTGGTGTGGTGCTGTGTTAGCTGTGCTGTGGTGCTGTGGTGTAGTGCTGTGGTGTGGTGCTGCCATGGTGTGTCTTTAGGTTAACTCTGGCCTCTACAAACACCAACTCAACTCCATTATCACAACAGTTAGAGAAACTTACACAACATCACCACAGCAAACTGCCAATTACACTCATCTTCTGAACTGGAACATTTTCTCTGAATGACCACACTGATCTCTGAGTGGGCCGCGCACTGTAATTGCATACTGTAAGGTCTTGTTTTGACTGGTCACTGTAATTACAATGTTTGAGTTGAAAGCAGACAAACTGACCAGGAGATCAGAGACAAAGATCAGAGCTCTGCTGATGGTCAGGTAAAGACTGACACTACACACAATAGGCACTTCAATTTCATTAGACAGACAAAGGGCTTCTAATTACGTTTGAAGTTGTCTTTAATAATCTTTAATAACATCACATTCTGAATGTTTATAATGAAGCGCCATGAATATTTACCAGGTATTTTCAGAGATAATCGCTGAACAATTGCTAACGTTGCTAATGTGCATAAGCCAACTTCGTAAAGAGCTACGCTACACTTACATCACAGTGAGGTAAAGGCTACATTTGGCTGTAATGTGATATACTATTACTATTACAGTTGTTGTTGTCTTTATTTTCAAACATTAAACTTACACTTAAGGCTACTATGCGGTCATATGCAAAAGTTTTGGCACCCCCGGTCAATTGATTTTCTAAGTGTAAATAAGTGAACACATCCTCTACAGAGATCACTCTTCTGCACACTTTAATGCACACATATTGCTGAATTTAACAAACTACACAACATACTGACAAAACATAAAACGTGCAAAAGTTATGGCACATTTTGTTTATGTGCAAAAGTAATGGCACATTTCATATTTCCAATATGCGCACTTAATTTGACTGGAAGGGTTGAAACTCTTGCATATGACTGTAGCTAACTGGGCTAATTTATTGACTCTCAAGGATACTGTGCATAAAGAAATGTGTTCCCATGTTATTAAGCTTTGGGTTTCAAGATCAATTTCAATTTTAATAACTTGATTTTTGTTCATTTTAATAAAAATGTAACAAAATGTAATAAAAAAAACAATACATTTCTGGACAGATTCCACTGGCATAAGCACCAAAATGCTCACATGGATGGCTGAGATGCTCAAAAATTGGAACAACTATCTGTCCAAAAGTATCCAGACAGCCCTTCAAATGAGTGAATTTAGCTACTCTAAGTTGCTCACATTGCTGACAGCTTGTATAATCTCCATAGAAAAGCACTGACCAGCAGAATGAAGCTCTGGAGCACATGAGCCACCACCATGCCCAATGCTAAGCATGGACTAGAGGGGAAATAAAGCTCCCTCAGCATTGGGCTGGGGAGCACCTGTGTTCTCTGGAGTGATGGAGCTCCATCCAATACCTTTGGGATGAGTTGGAGATCCAAAGCTGACCATCCAACATCAGTATCTGACCTCATTAATGCTCAATCAAATCCTCACAGCAATGTTCAACATCTAGTGTAAAGCCTTCCCAGAAGAGTAGAGGCTGTTACTGCAGCACAAACTCACTATTAACACCCTTCATTTCAGAGGAAACACTGGACGAGGGCCTGGACTCGTTGCCGTCAGGCCGTCTGGTCAGCCTTCCGTCTGATCGGCTTTAATCAGATTCATGAATGAACCTTCAGGTCGTGTGAATCAGTGTAAACACTAATCCTGAAACTGAGTCGTTTACCGGACGCTAAACGAGCCGGAATGCTGCGGGACGTCCCGCCTCTACAGGTGCTCAACATCAGCCTGTCAGTGCAGCCTGACCTCTGACCTTTACTGGGGTCCAGACTCTCTACATGACCCCCGGGGGGGCGTGTCATGACCTCCAGGGGGTTTTTCTTTTGGGTGTGGGGGTCTGAGAGAAAAGAAAGTTTTTGTCGAGACCACCCCCTCAGGGGAAATCAGCTATTAACATACTAAAGACAGAGACAGAGAGAGAGAGAGAGAGAGAGAGAGAGAGAGAGGTGGGGGCATAGATGGAAAAAAGGAGGGAAAGAGAGAGATAGAGTGAGAAGGGGTTGGGGAAAGGGAGGGAAAAGAGAGGGAGAGAGAGCAAGAGGTAGGGGAAAGGAAGAGAAACAATGAGAGAGAGTGAGAGAGTGAGAGATAGAGAGTGAGAGATAGAGAGTGAAAGGCAGAGAGTGAGAGAGAGTGAAAGGTAGAGAGTGAGAGATAGAGAGTGAGAGGTAGAGTGAGAGATAGAGAGTGAAAGGTAGAGAGTGAGAGATAGATAGTGAGAGGTAGAGAGTAAGAGGTAGAAAGTTAGATGTAGAGAGTGAGAGGTAGAGAGTGAGCGATAGAGAGTGAGAGATCGAGAGTGAGAGGTAGAGAGTGAGAGATCGAGAGTGAGAGATAGAGAGTGAGAGATCGAGAGTGAGAGGTAGAGAGTGAAAGATAGAGAGTGAGAGGTAGAGAGTGAGAGAAAGAGAGTGAGAGGTAGAGAGTGAGAGATAGAGACTGAAAGGTAGAGAGTGAGAGGTAGAGAGTGAGAGGTAGAGAGTAAGAGGCAAAGAGTGAGAGATAGAGAGTGAAAGGTAGAGAATGAGAGATAGAGAGTGAGAGGTAGAGAGTGAGAGGTAGAGAGTAAGAGGTAAAGAGTGAGAGATAGAGAGTGAAAGGTAGAGAACGAGAGATAGAGAGTGAGAGGTAGAGAGTAAGAGGTAAAGAGTGAGAGATAGAGAGTGAGAGGTAGAGAGTAAGAGGTAAAGAGTGAGAGATAGAGAGTGAAAGGTAAAGAGCGAAAGGTAGAGAGTGAGAGGTAGAGAGTGAGAGATAGAGAGTGAAAGGTAGAGAGTGAGAGAGAGTGAAAGGTAGAGAGTGAGAGATAGAGAGTGAGAGGTAGAGAGAGAGAGATAGAGAGTGAAAGGTAGAGAGTGAGAGAGAGTGAAAGGTAGAGAGTGAGAGATAGAGAGTGAGAGGTAGAGAGTGAGAGGTAGAGAGTAAGAGGTAAAGAGTGAGAGGTAGAGAGTGAGAGGTAGAGAGTGAGAGGTAGAGAGTTTTTATATCACCCTAACATGCTTGTTTATTTCTCTCTTTCCTTGTTCATTTGTTTTTGGTGTATATGCGCATCACTGGTGCAGTCAGGTAGACTTACTAAGAACACAGACCTGCAAACCATCAAAGGATGACATCATCATGAGTGACAGCAGGCGTCCTTTGATGTGTTTGATTGATAAGCATTTATTGTTCTTCATGTTTTATCAGATCCATATACTGAACTGAAGTGACCACAATTAATCCAACAATACAGCTCACAGAAACAATAACACCCAGCAATAAAACTGAATCAGCTACACATCAGCGAGAGAGAGAGAGAGAGAGAGAGATAAAAGGGAGGGAAGAAAAGATAAAGAGAGAGAAAAGATATATATGAGAGAAGAGAAAGAAAAAGAGGGAAAAGGTGAAAAGAGAGAGAAGAAAAGAGAGAGAAAGGCAAAAGAGAAGAGAGAGGCAGAGCAAAAAGGAGAGTAAACAGAGTGAGTGAGTGAGTGAGTGAGTGAGAGAGAGAGAGAGAGAGAGAGAGAGAGAGAGCACGCGCTCCCATTTAAGGAGTTGAGCACGCTGTGGTCCTGCAGATGTAAACACGCGGAAACAGCGCGAGCGCAGACGGATCAGCCAGAGAGAGCACCTTCACACACACACACACACACACACACACACACACAGGTCACAAACCAGACCTACTACTAGTCTGACCTTAACATCGCCATTTACTTATTAAGGTCCCCACAACGTCAGAGTATGAACAGGTTTTCGTCCCCACAATGTGGCATAAACCTGATCCACTCACACACACTCACACAAGCGCGAGCTGATGATAAACAGTAACGATGTACTCACGCACTGCCTCCTGTTTGGCCTCCAGTTGGCCCACGTGCCGCTGCACTCTGCCCGCTGTCTCGCGCAGCGTCCTCAGCCTATGCTCGGTCCGCGCGAGCTCCTCCTCGAGCTCCTCGAACACGGAGCCCGCGTGCCTCGCCACGTCCGCCAGCTGCCGCAGAGTGCGCGCGAGCGCCGCACCGCACAGCGCGCGCAGGTCCCGGTCCGGGCTCGAGCCCCGCTCGCGCTCCTCCTCGCGCTCGCGCTCACTCCGCCACACACACCGCGGCTCCACCGCGCGCTTCGAGAACGGCATCTCCGCGCGCTGAACGCTCGCGCGCACAAAATCCACAGACCACGAGAAAGAAAGACGCGCCTCTGTTTAAACGGCTAGAGCATTAGTTCCTCCTCAGTGCAGCGCGCGGCGGTGCACGCGCGGCTCCTGCTCCATCCTCGCGCGCCTAGAGACGCTCCAGAAGCTCCGGGGAGGTGTGCGCGAGCTCCGTGCGTGTGAGTGTGTGTGCGCGCAGCTCGGCGCGGCAGCAGCCTGCCTGCCTGTGGGACTTTCAGCTGCACTTTCAGCTCGAGCTGCTTTTAAACCGGGCTCCGCCTAAAGCCCGGAGCGGAGTCCGCAGCCGCGCGGATCCGGAGCGGCCCGCTGTCTCACTCACAGAAACGTCACTCGCCGCCTCAGCCAATAGCGGAGCAGAGAGGAGTCACACAGTCAGACAGTCAGGGAGTCACACGAGTTTGGAGGAACTCAGGACGCTCAGAGCGCTTAGACAGTGCACTGTCCAGTGGGCTTGTGTTCTAGCTACAACACTTACAGACAGATGGTACCTGTGTTCTAGTGCAAATCTGTCTTTATGATCCAGTGAACACTTGTGCTTGTGTTCTAGTGAATACTTGTACTTGTGTTCTGAGGTATACTGTAATTTGTACTTGTACTTGTGTTCTAGTGAATACTTGTGCATGTGTTCTCAGGTATACTGTAATTTGTACTTGTGCATGTGTTCTAGTGAACACTTGTACTTGTGTTCTCAGGTATACTGTAATTTGTACTTGTACTTGTGTTCTAGTGAACACTTGTACTTGTGTTCTAGTGAATACTTGTACTTGTGTTCTCAGGTATACTGTAATATGTACTTGTACTTGTGTTCTAGTGAATACCTGTGCATGTGTTCTAGTGAACACTTGTACTTGTGTTCTCAGGTATACTGTAATTTGTACTTGTACTTGTGTTCTAGTGAATACTTGTACTTGTGTTCTCAGGTATACTGTAATTTGTACTTGTACTTGTGTTCTAGTGAATACTTGTGCATGTGTTCTAGTGAACACTTGTACTTGTGTTCTCAGGTATACTGTAATTTGTACTTGTACTTGTGTTCTAGTGAATACTTGTACTTGTGTTCTCAGGTATACTGTAATTTGTACTTGTACTTGTGTTCTAGTGAATACTTGTACTTGTGTTCTCAGGTATACTGTAATTTGTACTTGTACTTGTGTTCTAGTGAATACTTGTACTTGTGTTCTCAGGTATACTGTAATTTGTACTTGTACTTGTGTTCTAGTGAATACTTGTGCGTGTGTTCTAGTGAACACTTGTACTTGTGTTCTCAGGTATTCTGTAATTTGTACTTGTACTTGTGTTCTAGTGAATACTTGTGCGTGTGTTCTAGTGAACACTTGTACTTGTGTTCTCAGGTATACTGTAATTTGTACTTGTACTTGTGTTCTAGTGAATACTTGTGCATGTGTTCTAGTGAACACTTGTACTTGTGTTCTCAGGTATACTGTAATTTGTACTTGTACTTGTGTTCTAGTGAATACTTGTACTTGTGTTCTCAGGTATACTGTAATTTGTACTTGTACTTGTGTTCTAGTGAATACTTGTACTTGTGTTCTCAGGTATACTGTAACTTGTACTTGTACTTGTGTTCTAGTGAATACTTGTGTGTGTGTTCTAGTGAACACTTGTACTTGTGTTCTCAGGTATTCTGTAATTTGTACTTGTACTTGTGTTCTAGTGAACACTTGTGCGTGTGTTCTAGTGAATACTTGTACTTGTGTTCTCAGGTATACTGTAATTTGTACTTGTACTTGTGTTCTAGTGAATACTTGTGCTTGTGCCCTAGTTTATACTTGTACTTGTGTTCTAGTGAATACTTGTGCTTGTGCCCTAGTTTATACTTGTACTTGTGTTCTAGTGAATACTTGTGTTATAGAGTATACTGTAATTTGTACTTGTACTTGTGTACTAGTGAATACTTGTGTTTGTGTTCTAGTAAGTAATGGTACTTGTGTTCTAGGGTATACTGTAATTTGTACTTGTGCTTTGTGTTCTAGTGAAAACTTGTGCTTTATGTTCTAGTGAATACTTAAAGATGTATTAAATGGTATACTGTAATTTGTACTTGTACTTCTGTTCTAGTGAATACTTGTGTTTGTGTTCTAGTAAATAATTGTACTTGTGTTCTAGGGTATACTGTAGTTTGTACTTGTACTTGTGTTCTACCAGGGCAAACACTAACATGTGGAGAGAAGGGGGTCCTCCCGGACCAGGGTTGGGAACCGCTGTTCTAGTGAATACTTGTTTTATATTCTAGTGAATACTCGTGTTCTACGTTATATGGTAGTTCGTAGTTGTGATTGTGTTCTAATGAATGCATGTGCTTGTCTTTTAAAGCACATTTGTTCTCATGTTCTAGTGAACCGGTGTGCTTGTGCTAATGCACATACTCTAGTTTGTACTTGTGTTCAAGTGAGTACTTGTGCTTAGCTCTCGGTGCATTCTGGATCTTATTGTCGTGCATACTAGTGCTTGGGTTACTAGAGCACTGTTTAGCTAGTGTCTAGTGTTCTACTGCACACTTGTGTTCTATCTAGAGCTTAAAAAGTCAGCAAGGTTACTTATTTAAGTCACTTAGTTCTCTTATTGAAGTGACCGTCGTTGTGGAGCCTGGTATGAATGAAGGTCTACAGAGGATGGACGGAGTATTCGGAGAATGGACTGTGTGGTCAGGAAGGCAGATTTGTGTGTGGTTTGTGATGGAAAGTGGGAGGTGGTCTGGTTTCCTCTGGGCAGACCCGTCACAGCGCGCTGGCCAGAGTCCCTTTCACATTCGCTGAGTGTGGATTTCACTAAATCCAGCCTGTCCAGCCTCCACACTGGGCTAAAGCCTTTTCCTGTAGAGCGGCTAACGCTAGTCCACACAGCAGAAGTGCCATCGCTGCAAAGTGACAAACATGTGACTTTCAGTTTAATGATGTTTTATTACAAGTCATTCCGGACCATTTTTGTCGGTCCATTCGATTTCAGAACTGAAGCAAGAGTGGAGCCTGATTTTGAAGTGCTGTTTATCTGATGGGGGCAGTTTTGGGGTCGACCAGGTCTTCCAGGTGGTTGTTAGGACTCCCGTTTTCTCTGTAGCTTTGAATCATCCTGTTTTTCTCCGACACTGTGGAAGTGGACATCGAATATCTCCTGGAAAATAAGGGAACTTGTATTTAATGTGTCTTGAGTGGGAAAGAAGTAATGAGGGATGGTCAGAGGACCGGTCACTCAGTGCTCGTGTGTCTGGCATCAGCACATATTTAAGACAGGCAGGGAGAGTAACTGTGCGGTATGTGACCATCAGACGGGTGACCCTTGACCCCTGCAGTGGCTGAGTCTTTGTGGGGAGAGCCTCAGCTGCTGTGAATGAATGTGAGTGTCTATATCTGTCTGTGTCTAAGAGTCCGTGTACGTATTTATGCTGTAATCTGAGCGCTGCGGATCGGCTGGAGTGGCTTTAAAGGGTAAAGTCGGCTCGCTGGCAAAAACCCACCCATCTCACCCCCGTTCAGACCCGGTCTGCACTCTGAGACCTGTCCATTCAGATCTTTCAGGGCTGTGCCGATAAGGGCAGGTGCTCAGGGTTAAAAAAGGGCAAAACAAAGAGGAGAATTCCTGCCGAACGCTGACGATCTCAGGGTAAAAATGAGAGGAATGAAAAGGTCCCCCAGCTGCTGGTCTAAAAGCCTGGAGCTGGATTAGTTTACTTACTACATGGTTCATTATGTTACTGCACAGCTAATGTGGTCAAAGCATTCAGTACTTTATGTTACCAGTTGGGAACCCTCAGGATCTTTTGGGCCTTTGGAGAATTTTATTGAATATAATCAACATACTTGTTGTATTGAAAGTATAAAAGTGTTGTAATACTCTTAATTCATTGGTCAGTTTTATTTGGAAACAAAAGGGTTAAATTCTTGATTCACTCAACAGAAAGCTGCCCAGTCCTCTTTGGTATCTGGGTAAACACAACCCATTGGTTAGGACTTCAGGATCTGGACTGAAGACCTAACATGTTAGACTAACCACCAACAAACAAAACTAGGGCCTGACAGGAGATTCAACCAATCAGATTTTGACTTCCAATGAGTGGAACCAATTTTGAGAGAAAAAACGTCCCACTAGTTCTTCTAAAAGTTCTAGATACATCATAAAGGCATAGATTAGCCAGGTTTCAGGTGGTCGTTAGGAATGGAAAACAGCAGCGGAGTCACTGCAAAACCAATACATACTCAAATATATATTAATGTCTGTTACAAGCTTCTAATTAAACATGTGGAATGTCCTTTACAAGCTTTGGGTGTCTGTGTTTAATCTAGAATGACCAAATAATGTTCCATAGCACCAGCATTAGCTTAGTGCTAACATACTATTAAAATCCCATTAGCAAGTATTAGCATTACCGTAAAGGTGGGGTCATTTTTCTTGGACCACACTGTGATTTTCACTGGTAATGTCCACTTCAAGTGAACCAAGATTTGGGTGATTCAGCAACGGCTAACTTTTAGCATCGCAGCTAAAGTTGTGCTTAGGTAATTGTGCCTAAGTTAGCTAGATTGCTAACTGCTGCTGTATTAAAGGTGGGGAAGCCACGTTCAGCCTTACTGTGTCTTGCCTGGTCTAATACATTTTTGGGTTAAAAGGGGGAAATTTGTGCAAATTTGGCAAAATATTGCTTTGATAGATTGATAGAGAGACAGAGAGAGAGACAGAGAGAGAGACAGAGAGAGAGGAAGGTGAAAACTGAACTGCAGCTGAACTCAGTAGAAGCTGTTTGTGGCTTTGTATCCTGGCAGAATAGGGCTAAAACGCTCGCGCACGTGACCTAAATCCCTCTCCGCGTGTGAGTATATGTGGTGGTGGTGGTGATGGGGGGGGTGAAGCTCTGCTTGCCGGGGGAAATATTAAATATGAATTTGTAATTCAGGGCCTGTGGCTGCAGATAAATTTGGCAGGATTCTCAGCAGCGACACAGGAAACAGGACGCAGGCCTTTGATCTGAAGGCAAACTCGATTTGCTCTATAAAAAGCAGCGGACGGAGCGGAGCGGACGGTTCTTAATCACACAGACCCGGATCTCACCCCTCGTCACGCTGCTCCTTCCTTCCTTCTATTCTCTCCCTCTTCCTCATTAACTGTCTCTCAGGAGTTTGGAGTCTGCTGAAGGAGCTGGTTTCAGCGCTACTCATTTAGTGAGTCAAGGATGTAAGAATGATGTGAAAAGTCAATTTTTTTACTTTGAATTTTAAACATTTCAAAAAATGCATTCAAAATTCTAAATTTCATTCTTCAGCATTGATTCGGTCCACTGCCTACCCCTTTTCTGCCCACCCATACTCGGCTGTGCTTTCTGATTCACATTCCAAAATTTGTAGCTCTGAATTCCAAAAATGTCATCAGGAATTTTTGAATTCTAATTTTTAGATGTCAACAAACATTTAAATTTCGTCCAAATTCTGAATCACTCACCTTTCCGCCGTCATTTGAGAACAAATTCCAACTCAGATGTTCTGAAGCTGAACCTTCCAGTATCAGATATTTGAAGCACCAAATTCCAAATTCACATTTTGTTACTGAATTTCAAAAAATGGCATTTTAATTCATTGATACATTTTATATTTCAAACTTCTTTATTCCTGTCTAAATTCGGAGACATTCACCCTTCTGTTCTTTGAGTGCTACCTATTCCGACTCAGATGTTCTGAGGTTGAACCTTCCCGAAACTTCTGCTAATCCAAAATTTCAAATTCCCAATTTGTTAAATTTCAACAATCAAAATTCCAGTCAAAATGATCAAAAACCTCCTGTTTTGAATCACTTTACCCCTCCATTTCTCACTTGAGTTCTACTTATTCCAATTTAGAAATTCTGAAATGTAACCTTCTAGAATTGGGTATCTAAAATGCCAAACTCCGTATTTCAAGTTTGTTTTTTTGTGGCTCTGAATTCCAGATATTTCAAAGCAGATGCTTGAAGTTTGGAATCCTAGATTTCAAAGCACATTTTAAATCACTCCCACCCTGATCCTGTGCTTATCATGCATTCTGCATGCATTTTGACCTCTGAACCTGAAACTTCTACAATCTAATATCTGAAAATCTGAAATCAGGCATATTAAAAAAAATTCAATATTTCTACATGAATTTATACTAAATTGCTAACTTTCCTTCAGGATCAATACAGTATCTATCTATCTATCTATCTATCTATCTATCTATCTATCTATCTATCTAATTCTGAATTCTATCTAAATTCCATCTGTTGCTCATTGTGATTTCCACCTTGTCTGAAGTTGAACTTTCCAGAATCTGGTGTCTGTCTGGTGATCTGAATTCTAAATCCCTCTCCATCGTGCTGGATGCTCTGATTGGCTCTTGTTCAGAGGCCCTGTTGTGTGGTCAGTGTGGTCAGTATAGTTGATGAGGTATTTTCTCTGGCATGTGTATCCGGCTCTTTTGTTTCTGGGCTGGCACTTTATTCTCCAGGGGTGCAGATGCTGGACACACTGTAGAGAACACTATGGTCCACTTTTATACCACACAAATCTATGGAACACATCAGTTTTTTATGGTTTGATTTTATCACACTCTGTGTCGTCTGTGATTGTGTTTCAGTCCACGGATCCAGGATCAGTTGCATTCTGTCCAATTCACTGTAGTACTGAAAGTATGAGAACCAAATATGATCCTGAGTCAGGGGGAGCCAGAGATACACCAAACCCAACAAACATCCACAAACCCAAACACTGGGCTGGTGGGATTTGTTTGTGATTGCTGGACGTCTCTAGAACATTCCCATCATTCACTCTGCCTCATCAGGCCTGGCCATTCTTTCTGAACATCCTAAAGTGAACTGCTTGTGTTTTACTGTATTTATTATTTTTTGGGGGTGTTGGTTTGTGTGTGTCTGCCCTGAGATGGACTGGCGACCTGTCCAGGGTGTATCCTGCCTTCTGCCCAATGACCGCTGGGATAGGCTCCAGCTCCCCAGAAGGATAAACAGTTTAGAAAATGTGTGTGGTTTGATTAGTTTTAGTGGAGAATGTTGGGTTGTGTAGTTTGAGCGGAGAATGTTGGGTCACTGTGTAATTTTAGTGGAGGATGTTGGGTCACTGTGTAATTTTAGTGGAGGATGTTGGTTCAGTGTGTAGTTTTAGTGGAGGATGTTGGGTCAGTGTGATTTAGTGGAGGATGTTGGTTCAGTGTGATTTAGTGGAGGATGTTGGTTCAGTATGTAGTTTTAGTGGAGGATGTTGGGTCACTGTGTAGTTTTAGTGGAGGATGTTGGTTTGTGTAGTTTGAGCGGAGAATGTTGGTTACTGTGTAGTTTTAGTGGAGGATGTTGGGTCAGTGTGTAGTTTTAGAGGAGGATGTTGGGTCAGTATGTAGTTTTAGTGGAGGATGTTGGGTCAGTGTGTAGTTTTAGTGGAGGATGTTGGGTCAGTGTGTAGTTTTAGTGGAGGATGTTGGGTCAGTGTGTAGTTTTAGTGGAGAATGTTGGGTCAGTGTGTAGTTTTAGTGCAGGATGTTGGGTTGTGTAGCTTTAGTGGAGGATGTTGGGTCAGTGTGTAGTTTTAGTGGAGAATGTTGGGTCAGTGTGTAGTTTTAGTGGAGGATGTTGGGTCAGTGTGTAGTTTTAGTGGAGGATGTTGGGTTGTGTAGTTTTAGTGGAGGATTTTGGGTCACTGTGTAGTTTTAGGGAAGAATGTTGGGTCAGTGTGTAGTTTTAGTGGAGGATGTTGGGTCAGTGTGTAGCTTTAGCGGAGGATGTTGGGTCAGTGTGTAGTTTTAGTGGAGGATGTTGGGTCAGTGTGTAGCTTTAGTGGAGGATGTTGGGTCAGTGTGTAGCTTTAGCGGAGGATGTTGGGTCAGTGTGTAGCTTTAGCGGAGGATGTTGGGTCAGTGTGTAGTTTTAGTGGAGGATGTTGGGTCAGTGTGTAGTTTTAGTGGAGGATGTTGGGTCAGTGTGTAGCTTTAGTGGAGGATGTTGGGTCAGTGTGTACTTTTAGTGGAGGATGTTGGGTCAGTGTGTAGCTTTAGTGGAGGATGTTGGGTCAGTGTGTAGTGTTAGTGGAGGATGTTGGGTCAGTGTGTAGTTTTAGTGGAGGATGTTGGGTCAGTGTGTAGCTTTAGTGGAGGATGTTGGGTCAGTGTGTAGTTTTAGTGGAGGATGTTGGGTCAGTGTGTAGTTTTAGTGGAGGATGTTGGGTCAGTGTGTAGCTTTAGTGGAGGATGTTGGGTCAGTGTGTAGTGTTAGTGGAGGATGTTGGGTCAGTGTGTAGTTTTAGTGGAGGATGTTGGGTCAGTGTGTAGTTTTAGTGGAGGATGTTGGGTCAGTGTGTAGCTTTAGTGGAGGATGTTGGGTCAGTGTGTAGTGTTAGTGGAGGATGTTGGGTCAGTGTGTAGTTTTAGTGGAGGATGTTGGGTCAGTGTGTAGCTTTAGTGGAGGATGTTGGGTCAGTGTGTAGTTTTAGCGGAGGATGTTGGGTCAGTGTGTAGTTTTAGCGGAGGATGTTGGGTCAGTGTGTAGCTTTAGTGGAGGATGTTGGGTCAGTGTGTAGTTTTAGTGGAGGATGTTGGGTCAGTGTGTAGCTTTAGTGGAGGATGTTGGGTCAGTGTGTAGCTTTAGCGGAGGATGTTGGGTCAGTGTGTAGCTTTAGCGGAGGATGTTGGGTCAGTGTGTAGATTCCTGCCCTGGTGGTCAGACTGTGTCAGAATGGTGGGAGTGCTGCTGAAAGGCTCTGTAGACACTCAGAGCTCCGGGACTCTCGCCAACAGAAGTCTGAACAAAACCCTGTTTAAACAGACCGTCCAGAGATGATATCAGCAGCAGAATCACTGAGGACTTTTAGAAATGACCTGACTGCCCTCAGCACTGTCCATTCTGCTACAGGGAAAGAGCACCCTCACACTGTACATGGGTTTAGAAATAGACAGACAGACAGATAGACAGACAGACAGACAGACAGACAGATGGATAGATAGATAGATAGATAGATAGATAGATAGATAGATAGATAGATAGATAGATAGATAGATAGATAGATAGACAGATGGATGAATAGATAGATAGATAGATAGATAGATAGATAGATAGATAGATAGATAGACAGATGGATGAATGGACAGATAGATAGATAGATAGATAGATAGATAGATAGATAGATAGATAGATAGACAGATGGATGAATGGACAGATAGATAGATAGATAGATAGATAGATAGATAGATAGATAGATAGATAGATAGATAGATAGACGATGATGATGGACAGATAGATAGATAGATAGATAGATAGATAGATAGATAGATAGATAGATGAGATGAATGGATAGATAGATAGATAGATAGATAGATAGATAGATAGATAGATAGATGAGATGGACAGATAGATAGATAGATAGATAGATAGATAGATAGATAGATAGATAGATAGATAGATAGATAGATAGATAGATAGATAGATAGACAAATAGCGATAGATAGACAGACAGATGCACAGATAGACAGATAGAGATAGATAGATAGACAAATAGCGATAGATAGACAGACAGATGCACAGATATACAGACAGATAGACAGACAGACAGATAGACGGATAGATAGACAGATAGACGGATAGACAGACAGACAGATAGATGGATAGACAGAGAGATAGACAGACAGACAGACAGATAGCGATAGACAGACAGACAGCCAGACAGATAGCGATAGACAGACAGACAGACAGCCAGACAGACAGACAGATCCAGTCCATCTTTTCATTATTTAAATAAGTTTATTTTATACAGTTCACAGGCAGATTTGGGGCTTTTACACATTAAAAACAAACAGAAGAGGTAAAAACGAATGACATCACTGTAAATCGTGTCACAGTGTGATCAGTATAAATGAAGGAGGAATAAAAATCACAGGAACCCAAACTGAAGGTTTTACAGTGTTCTCTGTTTCACACGTGCAGGACAGAACACAGCACAGAACCACAGAACCTTCACGCTCACTCACACGCTGGAGTAGGCTCAGTCCGGTCCCCTGCAGTGAGTGTGAGAGCCTCATCTGAATTTGGCTCAGTATGAACAGAAACAGGAAGTCGGCCGGCACCATCGCGATTTTGCATAGGAAAATATTTAACACCCCACGTGAACATCAGACGTTTCTGCATTCAAACAAACAAACAAGCAGAATCTTTCCGAGCGGCATTTTACAGTCATTTGTTTGCTGTTTTTCCACAGAACGGTGACAATGAGTGACCATGTCCTCACTGACCGCCGGACATCTCTATAGAGAATAACTACAGGGGAGAAACAGGTGAGGTCAGCTGGTTCACAGTGGGAAGAGAAACAAACCACTTTGGAAAAAGAAAGAAAAAAGTCTCTGGGGTTCTCATTCTTCTTTTTTGCACCACATTACAAACACATTCAGCAGACCATTCCAGTTTCAGTGGACGCTGAAGGCCTCACTTTTGCATTTTTCTAGTTTGTTTGCGTTTTAAAACCATTTTTCACATCACAGACATAAAACATGCTTTCTGCCAATGTGCTTTCCTCCACAGTGACCTGTAGTGCAGAACTGACCCAAAAGAAACTCATGGTGGCCTCAGATAGAACGAGCACATAACACACACACTCACTCACACACACCAGACAGTACGGCGGCTCAGTTCTGGAAATATTGGAGTCCAGTCTAATCAACGTGATTGGAATCAATGATATGAGTCAGTTTAACTGTACAGTTCCCGTGAACGCCTCCCCCTCAGCAGGTGTGAGTGTTGGGGAAACCATCAGAAACCATGTAGAAAACACAAAAAAAGACCAAAAACGACTTTTTTTGGTTAAACTAAGCTAAAAACTCGAAACGCTATACGCTGTGAATTTACTCACAGCTCTAATCATCGGCCTGATTAAACCGATTAAACAGCTCCAGAGACTCAGCGTCTGCCCAGACGGCTAAACTGATCTGCTGGCGTGTCGGTCAGCCAGAAACTATCGTTTATAAAGCTGCGTATTTGTTTTCCTCAGTGAAATATTAAAGACTAAACAGCGTCTGTAGATAATCAGCTTTATTCAGTTTAACTTGTACACACTGTTCCCTTCTATGCTGGATATTATTTCTATTGAAAAAGTCAGAGCGGCTGCCGTCGCGTTTCCATGGCAGCGGGTTTACTGATTGGTTCTGAACATGTTGTCGTCATGTTAAAGCGACGTACGCATCGGTTAGTTGTTACTGGTTAAGACACGACCTGCGGATTTGTGGTGCAGCCAAATTTAGTAAAGGATAGTCTGAAACTAACTGGTGTAGCTGACTCAGCAAAGCCTTTACGCCCAGTATAAACTTACGCAAACCTGGCTCAGTCCTGGTTAGTGAACTTGACGAAGTTGATTCCAAGAGTCGATAAGGTCACACATTTTCTTGATTCTCGAAATGAAATATTATTACATAAGCCCCCTTTCATACATGCACGTTTATGTGATGTGAATACTAAACCGATGTGCTGGTTTATCTGCACAACAGGCAGGAAATGACCGGTGTGAATGGAAGCAGCTGTGAATGATAACATTAGCAGGAAAACAATCTTGATGAAGGGGAGCAAAGCTGAGGTTTCTGTGATGAGTTTCAGGTTTCAGGTTTAGTGAAAAACACCAGCGTGTGTTTGGTGCATGTCTCTGGTGGCACAGCACTCGAGAGGAGCGCTAAACCTGCTCCTAGTGCACAAACGGCTGCTACTGCAGGAGAGCGGCATGAACTACTAAAGCCCTGAGAAAAATATAGACATTTACTCATAATGAGAATTTTAACATGATTATGACTTAATATCTCAGAATTATGACTTAGTGTCTCGTTATTATAATAATTTTCTGATATTGAGATATCATAATATGGATAGATATGAAGGAAGTTAATCGTATTTTGACTTAACATCTCACAATTATGGCTTAGTATCTCATAATTATGATCTACTTTCTCATAATTACAACTTAGTATCTCATAATTATGATTTACTATCTAATTATTATAAGAATCTTACAATAATGAGATCTCATAACATGGAGAAATATGAACGTTTCTCATATTTTGACTTAGTATCTCATAATTATGACCAACATTCTCATAATTATGGCTTAGTATCTCATGATTATGACTTAGTATCTCATGATTATGACTTAGTATCTCACAATTGTGACTTAGTATCTCATAATTATGATTTGAAATATCATAATTATAACTTAGTTTCTCATAACTATGACTTAGTATCTTGTAATTATGACTTGTGTTTTATTCTTAGAATTTGATTTAGTGTCTCATAATTATGATTTACAATTGTATAATTATGACCTACTTTCTCATAATTATGACAGTGTCTCATTTTAATAATCTGGCCTCTCATAACTATGACAAACGTTTGTCACTATTATGAAATAGTAAGTCATTATTATGAGATACTTTGTCATAATTACAATATAGTAAGTCAAAATTACGAGAAACCTCATTATTATGATATGCTATGTTGCCTTTTGTTCGAGTGGTGGAACAGGCGTCCGTACTGAGCAGAACTTTTCTGTGAGGCTTTTGTTTTTGCCCTAAACGGGACATTGATTCCGGAATTGCTGTAAGCGATGATCAATGGAGTCGATTCCACATCATTTTTTTCAAATTTCAGTTTCAAAAATCAAAACACAGGAAAAAGATCTGGCAACAGAAAAAGTGCGTTATTACTTAATACACTATCGTGATTGACGGTATGAATGATAAGGGATCTTGTTACATTTACTCCTCCGTTCTTCAGATATCAGTTTAATTAAATGGCCTAGACCGTAATCTGGAGAGCTCACGTTCGCTAGATTAACGTGGATTACTACTGGGGGGCTAATTGAACTGTACCTGATTTCCACTGTCGACTGCGGAGGGCAGATCAGCGCCGGTGAAGACGACTCCAAGACACTTTTTGCTACAAACTGTACATTTTGCTTTGTTTTCCACTTCATCCAGCCAATCTACTGATGTAGGCATTATTATTCAGATATCTCTAATGTCTCACGCTCTGGCTCATGTGGATGTGGGTAAATTTGAACGTCGCTGTGTAAAAGCCTTTAAACTTTTCCCCCAAAATGCCTCGAATCAGAGAACTGACTCCGTTTGGGATCGACTCTCAGCCTTACCAGACAGTTTCTCTTCACATAAGGCAAAGAAAAAAACCTGCACCTGCTTTCCATTCACCGGACTGACCATCCATAAACAAACCCCTCAAAGCTACTGTGAGAGAATCAGTCATTACCTCAGAGGCCTCATTCATTAAGACAGTTCAGTACAAACTGACTCTCCGGCTGAGATTAAAGAACAGAGCCAATCAGAGTCAAAACAAGCAGAGACCCTGCTCCTCCTCGGCCTTTCATTTGTGTGAATTCATGCTAACACTTTATTTGAACAGTCCACTGTAGATGCTTTGCAGATGTCGTTAAATTACGTCTATGACTTTTCCTCAACCATAAGACTAACACTCTCTCTGGCTTTACAGGGCTGCTCAGGCCAAAATGAGGCACATGACTATCACTACATCTGTTGGGAACGTGGCTACTCGCCTCGTACAGCAGTGCTGTAGTAGCGTCCAGAGATTTTACAGGTTAAAGACCAAAAACCCCTCCTGATGATGCACCTTGGCCCTGCTGACGAGCCCTGGTCATTTAAGGGGTTAAGCGTCTGTAGATGATCAACAGTGGACTATTCAAATAAACTAGAATGAGAACTCGGTTCTAAAGACGGAGGTGGAACACATTTTTCAAAATTTCTGCATAAATAAACGGTTAAGATGTAAGTGAAGTCAGTCAGAGTGGTTTAGAGTCAGAACTGTTCACAGTGGTGGTGATAGGAACCAGACATCTGAAGAGTTCAGTGCCTCTAAAAATGTCTATATTTGTGTTGTAGTCATGGCAACCCCTGGTTCCCATCACCACCACTGTCTCTACAACTGACCGTTTCACAACAAACCCCTCTGAATGACTGTTTACTGATCATCTACTTAATTATGCAGAAATTTTAAAAAAATGGTGGAGTTCCCCTTTAACATCACTGTCACTGAGAGCATGCGGTCATTTCAGGGTCACACAATGCCGTAAATTTTCCAGCGTGTTTACAGACACAGAGTAGCTGTGACTCCAGACACATCATTCTGTGTGTGTGTGTGTGTGTGTGTGGTGTGTGTGTGTGTGTGTGTGTGGTGTGTCGTCTGTTACACTGGGACACGGCTCTGAGTTTCAGGTCATTTAAGGTCAGCGGAGGCCATGAAGTGATAAACTACATTCCACTGGGTCATCTGGACACACAGAGACTGGGGTAGTGGTGGACGGGGGGGCGGGGCAGAGGGGTCAAGTAGAGGCTGTAGGACGAAGAAGCTCCAGCTGAGACTCCAGAGTAACTCTCTGTAGATGAACCTCCTGAGGAGAGAGAGAGAGAGAGAGAGAGAGAGAGAGAGAGAGAGAGAGAGAGGGAGAGAGAGAGAGAAGGAGAGAGAGAGAGAGAGAAAGAAATAGAAAGACATGCAGAGAAAGAAGTAGAGAAAGTGAGAGGAAAAAGAGAAGAGGAGAGAGAGAAAGAACGAGAGGGAAAGTAGACAGACAGAGGAGGAAGAAAGAGAGAAAGGAGAGAAATAGAGAGAAACAAATTGTAAGAAATATAGACATAAAGAAAAAAAGAATGAGTGAAGAAAAAGAAAGAGGAAGAGTGGGTTAGAAAGAGAAAGAGAAAGAGAGAATGATATGCACAGACAGAACGTGAGAGAACAAAAGAAAGGAGGACAGAGAGAAAATGAAAGAGAGGGAAAGTAGAGAGACAGGAGGCAAAGAGAGAAGAGAGAGAGAGGAGAGAAAGAGAGAGAAGAAATAGGAGGAAAGGACAGAGGCAGAGAGAGAAAGAGTGGAAAAGACAGAAAGAGAGACAGATAGAGGGAGAGAGAGAAAGAGGTTTAGTGTAGAACTGAACTATGAATGATAAAGTGAACGAATTAAATTCCTGCAGTTTATTACAGTGTTATAAACCCTATATACAGTTTCTCTGTTTAATCCTGTAAAACTCTATGTGCTGTTTAAAGCTCAGACTGAAACACACACACACACACACACACACACACACACACACACACACACACACACACACACACACACACAGACACACACACACACACACAGAGACACAGACACACACACACACACTAATACACACACACACAGACACACACACACACAGACATACAGACACACACACACACAGAGACACACACACACACAGAGACACACACACACACACACACACACAGACACACAGACACACACACAGACACACAGACACACACACACACACACAGAGACACACACACAGACACACAGACACACTAATACACACACACACAGACACACACACACACACACTAACACACACACACAGACACACAAATGCACACACACACAGACACACACAAAAACACACACATACGCACACACACACATACATATACACACACACACGTGGCCGTGTGACTGACAGCTCAGATAGAACTGAGAGATCTTTGACCTCTGACCCTTCAGAAGGCCTCTCTCACTCTTTCACACGTGTCCAGGTTTTCAACACTGACCTCTGACCTTTCCTTCTTTTGTCGGTGCGTCTGCGTTTGTCATTACTGGCCTTTCTAATGTGCTCTAATACACACTGAACACACCGATACACACCAACACACTGAACACACTGATACACACTGAACACACACTGATACACACCGACACACACCAACACACACTGATACACACCAACACACACTGATACACACTGATACACACCAACACACACTGATACACACTGATACACACCAACACACACTGATACACACCAACACACACTGATACACACCGATACACACCAACACACACTGATACACACCAACACACACTGATACACACTGATACACACCAACACACACTGAACACACTGATAGACACCAAACACACTGAACACACTGATACACACTGATACACATTGATACACACTGATACACACAGATACATACCAACACACTGAACACACTGATACACACCGATACACACTGATACACACTGATACACACAGATACACACTGATACACACTGATACACACCGACACACACTGATACACACTGATACACACCAACACACTGAACACACTGATACACACCAACACACTGAACACACTGATACACACTGATACACACCAACACACCGAACACACTGATACACACCAACACACTGAACACACAGATACACACCGATACACCGAACACACTGATACACACCAACACACTGAACACACTGATACACACCAACACACCGAACACACTGATACACACCAACACACTGAACACACAGATACACACCAAACACACTGAACACACTGATACACACCGAAACACACTGAACACACTGATACACACCAACACACCGAACACACTGATACACACCAACACACTGAACACACAGATACACACCGATACACCGAACACACTGATACACACCAACACACTGAACACACTGATACACACCAACACACTGAACACACAGATACATACCAACACACCGAACACACTGATACACACCAACACACTGAACACACAGATACACACCAACACACCGAACACACTGATACACACCAACACACTGAACACACAGATACACACCAACACACCGAACACACTGATACACACCAACACACTGAACACACTGATACACACCAAACACACTGAACACACTGATACACACCGATACACTGAAACACACTGATACACACTGATACACACCAAACACACTGATTCACACCGACACACACTGATACACACCGACACACACTGATACACACTGATACACACCAACACACTGAACACACTGATACACACCAACACACTGAACACACTGATACACACCAACACACTGAACACACTGATACACACCAAACACACTGATACACACTGATACACACCGACACACACTGACACACACCAATACACACCAACACACTGATACGCCCCGACACACACTGATACACACCAAACACACTCATACACACCGACACACACTGACACACACCGATACACACCAACACACTGATACGCCCCCACCACACACTGATACGCCCCGACACACACTGATACACACCGAACACACTAATACACACTAATACACACTGATACACACCGATACACACTAATACACACTAATACACACCAAACACACTCATACACACCGACACACACCGATACACACCAAACACACTGATACACACCGACACACACTGATACACACTGATACACACCGATACACACTAATACACACCGAACACACTAATACACACCGACACACACTGATACACACTGATACACACCGAACACACTAATACACACTGATACAGATCAAACACACTGATACACACTGATACACACCGATACACACTAATACACACCGAACACACTAATACACACCGAACACACTAATACACACCGACACACACTAATACACACTGATACACATCAAACACACTGATACACACTGATAGACACTGATAGACACCGACACACACTGATACACACTGATAGACACCGACACACACTGATACACACTGATACACACCGACACACACTGATACACACCGACACACACTGATACACACTGATACACACCAAACACACTGATGCACACCAAACACACTGATACACACCGATACACACCGACACACACTGATACACACCAATACACACTGATACACACCAAACACACTGATACACACTGATAGACACCGACACACACTGATACACACCAAACACACTGATACACACTGAACAGACCAATACACACTGATACACACTGAACAGACCAATACACACTGATACACACCGACACACACTGATAGACACCGACACACACTGATACACCCCGACACACACTGATACACACTGATAGACACTGACACACACTGATACACACTGATACACACTGATACACACTGACACACACTGATACACACTGATACACACTGACACACACTGATACACACGAACACACTGATACACACTGATACACACTGATAACGACACACTGATACACACTGATACACACTGATAGACACTGACACACACTGATACACACTGATACACACTGACACACACTGATACACACTGATACACACTGATACACCCCGACACACACTGATAGACACTGATACACACCAAACACACTGATACACACTGATAGACACTGATACACACTGATACACACCAAACACACTGATACACACTGATACACACCAATACACACTGATACACACTGATACACACTGATACACACCAAACACACTCATACACACCAAACACACTGATACACACTGATAGACACTGATACACACTGATAGACACCAATACACACTGATAGACACCAATACACACTGACAGACACTGATACACACTGATACACACCAAACACACTCATACACACCAAACACACTGATACACACTGATAGACACTGATACACACTGATACACACCAAACACACTGGTACACACTGATACACACCAATACACACTGATACACACTGATACACACTGATAGACACCAATACACACTGATACACACTGATAGACACTGATACACACTGATACACACTGATACACACCAAACACACTGATACACACTGATACACACTGATAGACACCAAACACACTGATACACACTGATACACACTGATACACACTGATACACACCAAACACACTGATACACACTGATACACACCAAACACACTGATACACACTGATACACACTGATACACACCAAACACACTGATACACACTGATAGACACTGATACACACTGATACACACCAAACACACTGATACACACTGATACACACCAAACACACTGATACACTGATACACACCAAACACACTGATACACACCGACACACACTGATACACACTGATACACACTGATACACACTGATACACACTGATACACACTGATACACCAAACACACTGATACACACTGATACACACTGATAGACACTGATAGACACTGATACACACTGATACACACTGATAGACACTGATACACACTGATACACACTGATACACACCAAACACACTGATACACACTGATAGACACTGATACACACTGATACACACTGATAGACACTGATACACACTGATACACTGATACACACTGATACACACCAAACACACTGATACACACTGACACACACTGATACACACTGATAGACACTGATACACACTGATACACACCAAACACACTGATACACACTGATAGACACTGATACACACTGATACACACTGATAGACACTGATACACACTGATACACACTGATACACACTGATACACACCAAACACACTGATACACACTGATACACACTGATACACACTGATAGACACTGATACACACTGATACACACTGATACACACTGATACACACTGATACACACTGATACACACCAAACACACTGATACACACTGATACACACCAATACACACTGATAGACACTGATACACACCAAACACACTGATACACACTGATACACACTGATAGACACTGATACACACTGATACACACTGATACACACTGATACACACCAATACACACTGATAGACACTGATACACACTGATACACACCAAACACACTGATACACACTGATACACACTGATACACACTGATAGACACTGATACACACTGATACACACTGATACACACTGATACACACCAAACACACTGATACACACCAAACACACTGATACACACTGATAGACACCAAACACACTGATACACACTGATAGACACCGACACACACTGATACACACCGACACACACTGATACACACTGAACAGACCAATACAGACTGATAGACACCGACACACACTGATACACACCAAACACACTGATACACACTGATACACACTGATACACACTGATACACACCAAACACACTGATACACACCGACACACACTGATACACACTGATAGACACTGACACACACTTTAAAGCGACAGGTCAGCAGGAACGCAGCCGTCCCCTAGCAACCACCTGGGATACCATAGCAACCACCTAGCAACACTGTAGCAACCACCTTGGATACCATGGCAACCACCTAGCAACACCTTAGCAACTACCTTTGATACTATAGCAAGCACTCAGCAACAGCTTAGCGACCACCTGGAACACCATAGCAAATGCCAGCAGCCACCTGGCATACAATACCAAACCCCAAACCAAACTGCATGTCCTCACTCAGGGCAGGTCCACAAGCTCTAATCCACAGCCACACTGACCCGCACTCCTCTATGTGTCGTTTTTTCATCCATCGTTCCTCCAATAGACTCCCATTCATTTTAAACAACACCTAGCAACCACTTGGCAACCTCCTGACAACCATGAAGTAAACACCCCTTACACCATGACAACCACCTAGCAACAACTTAGTAACCAATCCTTACACCATGACAACTGCCTAGCAACACCTTAGCAACCGCCTAGCAAGAATCTTAAGCTGTGCAATCAGTGCATTTTCTTCAGGAACTGCACTGTCCTGGTTTATTTTGTTGATTTCTTTAATTGAAAAGAAGTAAAACATTTTCTGTAAATGTTATTACAAATTACTTTATATTTGAAATAAAAAAAAAATAGTAATGGTGGCATGTGCAAAAGTTTGTACACCCTTCCAGTTGTAAACTCTCAGAACTTAATGAACTGACTCATTAGGCCTTAACTGACCCGTTAGAACTGGTTAGACGGATCAAGAATAGTCATTAGGAATTGTCAGCTGATGACAAATCCAGAGCGTAATAAATTCCCCGACTCTTCAAACCGTGCGCTAACATTCAAGAAACACAGGGTAACGGAAGCAGCTGGCTAAAGATCTGAAAATGAAGCCAACTGATTCCTACAAAGCAGGTGGCTATAAAAAGATCCACCGTCATTAGAAACGTCATTAGAAATGGCAGTAAAGGGGAACTGTGGAAGATCTGAATGACTAAGAAAACTCTCAGACAGAGCTACTCGTGTGGCCAGAAATGCAACAGGACAATGATCCAAAACACACCTCAAAATCCACCATGAATTTCTCAAGCTGAAGCGTTTGGATTGACTCTCACAGCCCCCTGACTTCCCTGACTGAACATCACAAAGTATGTGAGCAGGTCTTAAACATGCTGAGCATGCAAGACGGCCAAAGAACCCTGCAGAACTGGAAGAGTGGGTGAAAATTCCTGAAAGAAGAATAGAAAGACCTCTGCGACATCAAAGGGAGTATTATAAACGCTGACTTGGTAGCGTGTCCAAACTTTTGCACATCACTAATTTTACTTAAAAAGCAAAAAATGTTGTTTTAAAATTTCTGTTGAAGTTGTGTTTAATTTATTTCACCAGGCTGTCTAAACTGTCCATAACTGTACTGTTATCTATAATCATGGACTAAAATATGGACAAAAATCAAGGTTCAATATGCTGCTACCGTTTTAGATATAGTTATGTTATAACTGAAGTTTGGAGGGAGGAGCATGGCTGAAACCCCTCCTTCTTCCAATCTAAGTGCCTATAAACTCACATCCTCACCTTCTGTTCCCATGACGAAGTGTTTGCAATCCGCACCGGCCCCCCATCTCCTCCCTGTTAATCAGTCCTGCATCAGTCCTACTACAGCTATCAGGAGGTTTTGACCTTCCAGCTACAGGCAGACACTGCCCAAAACACCATCCCAAGTTCTCAGAGTTCTCCCCCTCCCTCAATCAGTCGCCCCTCATACTACCACCGCCATGTTGAAGGCACTGTCCAAACTCACTAACTGTAATAATAGTGTGTTGATCCAGAGTAAAACTGAAGAAGGAAACTTTAGACTCCACACACGTCTTGGCTGATCAGCTGCATTTGGATCTGCAATCTGATTTTTTGCTGAACTATCGCTTTAACCGCCTTTGAGAGCCAGCTGAGGCCTGTGGAAGAGTCAGTAACTCAACACTGCAGCTGCTCTAAGCTGCAGAGCTTGGGGGCGCAGCATAAATGAATGTTTAGCATTGCTCAACTCTGATTTTAATCTCTCTCACTTGTATTCAATGGTGGCTTTGCTTAAATAAATGAAGGGTGGTCTCTGACTTTCGCTCAGACACAAACTGTGCAGTTGCTGCTGGACGCTCTGTTCTGATCAGGTCGGTTGAGGAAGTGAGTGTGAGTGTGAGTGTATTCTGAGTAGGTGCAGTGAAGCGTCTCTGTTTCTGAGGCTGTATTATCTGATACAGGAGAAGGTGTACGGAGCAGACAGTGAGCTGATATGACCACGTCAGGTCAGCCTGCAGGTCAGCCGTGTGCGTGTGAGGATTGATTTATGTGTTTCTCAGGAAAGATGGGCTCAAAATAATCCTGCATGCTGAATGAACACAGAGACACAGACCACCTGCACCAGGGGTGCACAAACTTTTTGTCTCGGGGGGCAGTGCCTGTGGTGGACCGAGGGCTGAAGAGACGACACAGTATACAAATTGAGAACGTAGGTCGGCTTTAAATCTACAAATGTGTGTATGTGTGTGTGTGTGTGTGTGTGTGTGTGTGTGTGTTTGAGTGTGGGTGTGTGTATGTGTGTATATGTGTGTGTATATATGTGTGTGTATGTGTGTGTGTATATATGTGTGTGTATGTGTGTGTTTGTGTGTATATATATATATATATATATATATATATATGTGTGTGTTTGTGTGTGGGTGTGTGTATGTGTGTATGTGTGTGTGTATATATATGTGTGTGTATGTGTGTATATATATATATATATGTGTGTGTGTGTATATGTGTGTGTATATATATGTGTGTGTGTGTGTATGTGTGTGTTGTGTGTGTGTTGTGTGTGTGTGTGTATGTGTGTATATGTGTGTGTATATACATGTGTGTGTGTGTGTGTGTTTGTGTTGTATGTGTGTGTTGTGTGTGTGTGTGTGTGTGTGTTGTGTGTGTTTGTGTGTGTGTTGTGTGTGTGTTGTGTGTGTGTGTGTGTGTGTGTGTGTGTGTGTGTGTGTGTGTTACCTTCAGTTGCTGCTGTAGTTCACTGTTTAGCCGTGTTAGCACTGCGTTCGTTTCTTTATTTTTCCTGATGGCCATCTGAATCTCCCTCTTCTGCCTGGCAGGCAGCCTGAAAAACACTCTCTCCATTACTCCACCACAGTAGAATATTAAAGTGATAGTTTGAGCCAAAATAAACGTATGAACACAGTTTCTCCCTCACCCTGAATGTAGGTGATCGTCTACTCCAACTAGCATTGAGCCTAAATCACCACACACTCACCACAAACCCTGCGGAGCTGTTCAGTCTCTAATAGACTTGATGATGTGGTTTCTGACACCGTATGACTCACTGTGATCTGGAAACATGGACTAAAGTACTTCAGCTTAGTTCAAAACAGTCCTAAAGCCTGAATCTTGGCTTCACGTTAGTCTTGCATGATCTGTGATGTTTGCAGTGGGAGGAACTGTGTAAATCTGATATCCAGGCGTCAAAACAAATGTTAGCATAGCTCCTCTCTAGCAGCAGGAGGCCAAAGGTCAAGCATGTGCTTTCAAATGGAGGTGAACAGTGCTCTCCAGCCTCTCTCTCTCTCTTCTCTCTCTCTCTCTCTTTTGTGTGTGAAGCTTTTAACCTTTTAACACCTCTGATCTGCTCACACACCTGACTCTAACGTTAATGGCTCTCCAGATAAGGAGGAATTCAGGCCTGTGCACAGACATTTCGAGGGCTCATAGTGGAAAAATGCAACATGAAGATGAATTGAGCTTATTAAAAGGTTAAAAGTGGACCCGTATTAAAAACTAAATACAGCACCATATTGCATTCACTGTTGTCATGAGAAGGAGTCCAGAGTACCAGCATACCATGATACACCAATGAGTCCTTGGGCAAGACTCCCAACTCTACAGCTGCCTCTGTAAGGCGACTAAAGCCGGATAAGAGCATCTGCCAAATAGTGTGAATGTAAAATCACCCAAATGTAACCATCATGCAGCTGTTAGCTATCACGCTAGTTAAGAGTCTTGTATAAATCACTGTTCTTTACAGAAATAAACATGTGGTGTGGTTATAAACCACTTATTAACCCCTTATTACCAACAGTGTGTTTGGTTGTTGTTCAAAATTACCACCTTATAACATGTGACTCTTTCCTAAAACGATGATTATAGTGTTTCATTGGTGGGAGTGACTGATGAGTTTAAGCTCAATGTCTTATTTTACTATTTATTAATATTCACACTTTCTAATACAAACTTTGGTAAAGGAACCAGCATATTTTTAATACAGCAGCCTGAACTGAACGCATCCTGACTGACCTTTGACCTGTTTTGGGCGCTGTGGTGGGGGTGGAGCTTGAGTAGGCGGAGCCTGAGTGTGTAACAGTGTTCTGGTTTTCTGGGTGGAGCTTCCGGCGCATGGGCTTCTGAGGGGCGTGGCCTTGGAACAGCAAGGTAGAGTCCTGGAGAAACACCCAGAGCTGTTATTTATATATATACATATACATATGTATATATACACACACACACACATATATATATATATACACACACACAGTATTTATACATTCTCTCTAAACAGATCAAATATTACCATTGAGTTTTACAATAATTATTTATTCATTAATACTATAGTTGATAATATTATTTTATTGAATAATATATTTTGTATAAAATGTAATAATAATAATATTCTTTTTTTTAAATATGCAAATTCATTTATTTCACTGCAAAATCTGCATCCACAACTATTCTGATATATTCTTATAAATTCATTTTTGAAATTCTATATTTAAACTTCATTCTGGACAGTAATTTTATTATTAATTTTTAAATTAATTTCTTCATTTCCACGTTTATTTTATACAGGTAAGTGAACGTAAGAGCCTCAGAGTGCAGCCGAGAACTGCAGTGTTTTCTTGTGATGACCATAACATGATGTAAGAAGGCAGGATCAGTACGTACTGTTTTAGGGCCCCCTGGGGTCTCTGTGCCAGGGCCGACTGTCCTCAGGGGTCCTAAGGCCTGAGGGGGTTCAGCGGTCTCCTCCTGAAATAGAAAGATAGATAGAGAGCGAGAGGTAGAGACAGAGAGAGAGGGAGAGAGAGAGTGTGTTAATGTAAGTGGTCATCAAGGACAACACTGTGTACACTATATACAGTAAACCAGGAGGAAGCAGAGCAGAGGCTAAAGTGGGGCAAAACAGTAGCACAGCTTTTTAAAGTAGATGAACAGGTTCAGGCAGAACGTGCTTCTCATGTTCCCGTAGCAACATCTTCAGTGAATTCGGACAGCAATTGGGCGGATATTTCCAAGCAAATGTGAGAATTATGGGAATAAAAACGTGTGCACATATGTTTTCATGTTAAAATATACAGTACGTGCAATACGTGATATTTTAAAATATGTGCCATTTATTTTTTTTTTGCACATATATGTCAATCTATTGAAAGATGTACACGTGTAGCTGAAATATATGCAATAGTGTTAATCTTTAACATTTACATACTAAAGTATGTATTTCTTTTTCATACAAGTGCCATCTTTTCTACAACTGACCCCACCCAACACGTCCACTCGCACCACTTCCAGCTGAACTGTAGGTGCACTAAATGCACATCTTCATTTGTGGCAGATGAAGGTTTCTCGAATAAAAAATCCATTTTTTTAAAGTACTTTTTAAAGTCATTCAGCCAAGACCAAACTGGGCTGCGCTCCACTCTCCTTCATAGTTCAATGAGCCACTGTACGCTGAGTGTTCCCACAGAGGAGGAGCACGACGTTCAATAAACAACCACATTTATTATTAACAATAACCGCAATAAACAATTACTCCACCAAACTATGTGGTTTATTAACAGGCTGCCAAGAAACACAGTGATTACAAAGATTACTGACAACAATTATTCCACCAACAGCACAATGAACATTAACACAGAGCTCAGTTTATTATGCGCTCATGTGTTTATGTTTCAGACCAGCTCTGAATTCAGCTGATCAGAACTATCAAAGACTGTAACACACAGACACACTGTTCACCAGTGTAAACTGTAGATTTACTGCACAGCAGCACATCACAGTGTAAACAGACAAACAGTGTAGATGCAGATTTAACTGTAGAGAGAGAGGAAATCCACCCTCCATACCCCCATCCTTCTGACCCCCACCCTACTGACCCCCACCCTCCATACCCCCATCCTTCTGACCCCCACCCTCCATACCCCCATCCTTCTGACCCCCACCCTACTGACCCCCACCCTCCATACCCCCATCCTTCTGACCCCCACCCTACTGACCCCCACCCTCCATACCCCCATCCTTCTGACCCCCACCCTCCATACCCCCATCCTTCTGACCCCCACCCTACTGACCCCCACCCTCCATACCCCCATCCTTCTGACCCCCACCCTACTGACCCCCACCCTCCATACCCCCACCCTACTGACCCCCACCCTCCATACCCCCATCCTTCTGACCGCCACCCTACTGACCCCCACCTTCCATACCCCCATCCTACTGACCCCCACCCTACTGACCCCCACCCTCCATACCCCCATCCTTCTGACCCCCACCCTACTGACCCCCACCCTCCATACCCCCATCCTTCTGACCCCCACCCTACTGACCCCCACCCTCCATACCCCCATCCTTCTGACCCCCACCCTACTGACCCCCACCCTCCATACCCCCATCCTTCTGACCCCCACCCTCCATACCCCCATCCTTCTGACCCCCACCCTACTGACCCCCACCCTCCATACCCCATCCTTCTGACCCCACCCTACTGACCCCCATCCTACATAATTCTACCCTACTGATGCCCACCCTCCACAACCCCATCTTTCTGACCCCCACCCTCCATACCCCCATCTTTCTGACCCCCATCCTTCTGACCCCCACCCTCCATACCCCATCCTTCTGATCCCCACCCTACTGACCTCCACCCTCCATACCCCACCCTCAATACTCCCATCCTTCTGACCCCCACCATCCATAACCCAGTCCTTCTGACCCCCACCCTCCATACCGCATCCTTCTGACCCCCACCCCCATGCCCCATCCCACTGACCCCCACCCTTAACACCCCACCCTACTGACCCCCATCCTCTATACCCCATCCTCTATACCCACATCCTCCATATATCATCCTTCTGACCCTCACCCAAATGACCCCCAACACTACACATAAATAAGAAATAAATATATTTGGGAATTAAATATTAGTTTCCAAATTTGTTTAATTATAATGACTATAATGATATAAATTAAACATAGTCAACAATGTTGTTATTACTGTAAATATCTGATATATTGTCACTGTATGTTCATGTTATTAGTGTTATACTACTATGGCAACACTGGACCTTACAGTCACATCAATACAGCTACACTGAACGTGAATGTGAGAGAGAATGAGAGAGTGAAAGAGAGAGAGAGAGCGAGCAAGAAAGAGAGAGAGAGACAGAGAGAGAGAGAGAGAAAGAGAGAGAGAGAGAGAGAGAGAGAGAGAGAGAGAGAGAGAGAAAGAATGTGAGACAGACAGAGAGCGAGACAGACAGAGAGAGAGAGAGAGAGAGAGAGAGAGAGAGAAAGAATGTGAGACAGACAGAGAGCGAGACAGACAGAGAGAGAGAGAGAGAGAGAGAGAGAGACAGACAGGGAGAGAGAGTCTAGTGCCCTGCATGCTGGTTCCTCCTCGAGTCCACACAGTAAATCCTGTTATATTGATATGATGTAACTCAGCTGAACATGGAGTCGGTCCATCTAATCACAGCAGATCAGCAGCTCAACATCTCCAGCCCTCTGAGCTCCATCTACTCAGGCTCATTAGAAACATCTGATCTGCTCTCCATGATCTTCTCCACTTCGGAGGGGGGGGGTAAATTTAACTTCCATCTCATCCTGCTGTCAAACAATCGCTTTAACCTTCGGAGTCTCACATAAAACCTGCAGCACTGCAGAACCCACTTTTACTGAACATCTCATGACCAGTGTTTCTGCTGATCCAGGATCTTTGCCCCTTATAAAATGTTTATTAGGCTGAGAAAGGCAAAAACTGTGGACGTTACAGTCTGCAGTGAAACTCACGTCTCCAATGAAGCTGCTTTCATCATGAGCAACAGCGCCGTGCAGTGGCGACTGTGTGTCACAGCACTGAGCCTGAACACCTACTTTAATACAACACATCAACCTGAACTGGTGAAACTGTTGATTGTAGAGACTCAGATGTCTTTACAGAGGTGGTGATAGGAACCAGGGGTCACCATGACTACAACACAAATACAGTCATTTAATTTACTATCTAGAACCACCAATAAACCTACACGAGTCTTCTGAGTGGTTTATATGGAATATTGATGATGGGGAAATAGTCATAAATCTGAAAATAGTTTTCTTTTGGGACTATTTTGTCTGATAACGGCCTGCGTGTACCTCTGCACCCTTATTGGGCTCAAATAAATATGTTTTAGGCCAAAACTGTCATAAAACAATGTATCAGACATCATAACATTTAATGTAATAACTTTCTGTGAGGGAGCTTTTAAGAGGTGGACGTCCGGTTCCTATCACCACCACTGTGAACAGTTCTGATTCTAGAGTTGAACATTATATCAAACCACTTTGATTTGACTGTTTATTTATCTATTTTAACCAATTAACCACAGAACTGTTTGAAATATCGGTGGAGAAATACACCCACCACCTGTTCTAGGGCTGAGCGATATGATAATACATATCGATACTGTGATGAAGTATCACAATACAACACAGTGTATATCGTCAGTACTTGTCAAACACTGACCAACTTTATGTTTCATTATAAAGAGAGCAAAATTAGTCCAGAACTGCCTCCACATGTCAGACACTTCCACCTCCCTGTTTCTACACTCATTGTCCATTTTATCAGCTCCACTTACTGTATAGGTGCACTTCGTAGTTCTACAGTTACAGACTGTAGTCCATCTGTTTCTCTGATACTTTGTTACCCTGTTCTTCAGTGGTCAGGACCCCCATGGACCCTCACAGAGCAGGTACTATTTGGGTGGTGGATCATTCTCAGCACTGCAGTAACACTGACGTGGTGGTGGTGTGTTAGTGTGTGTTGCGCTGGTCTGAGTGGATCAGACACAGCAGTGCTGCTGGAGTTTTTAAACACTGTGTCCACTCACTGTCCACTCTATTAGACACTCCTACCTTGTCGGTCCACCTTGTAGATGTAAAGTCAGAGACGATAGCTCATCTGCTGCTGCACAGTCTGTGTTGGTCATCCTCTAGTCCTTCATCAGTGGTCACAGGACGCTGCCCATAGGACACTGTTGACTGGATGTTTTTGGTTGGTGGACTATTCTCAGTCCAGCAGTGACACTGAGGTGTTTGAAAACTCCAGCAGCACTGCTGTGTCTGATCCACTCAGACCAGCGCAACACACACTAACGCACCACCACCACGTCAGTGTTACTGCAGTGCTGAGAATGATCCACCACCCAAATAGTACCTGCTCTGTGAGGGTCCATGGGGGTCCTGACCACTGAAGAACAGGGTAACAAAGTATCAGAGAAACAGATGGACTACAGTCTGTAACTGTAGAACTACAAAGTGCACCTATATAGTAAGTGGAGCTGATAAAATGGACAATGAGTGTAGAAACAAGGAGGTGGTCATAATGTTATGCCTGATCGGTGTATACATATATATATATGTGTGTGTGTGTGTGTGTGTGTGTGTGTGTGTGTGTGTGTGTTGGTCAAACTATCGCTTTAATCCGGCTGTGTAAGCAGGCCTGGTTCAATGCTCAGTGACTCCAGCTTCTGATCTAAAGGACTATGACAAATGAATTCTATACAGCTCTCAGATTCCTCCTCTCAGCTCCGCAGCAGTGAGAAAAGGGGAAGGAGATGAAAAACAGCCATAAAGTTTCAAAGTGGCGTCAGTTTGAGGAGCCGCGATGTCTTTGGAGAGTCGTGAGAAACAGGAAAGTGTGAAATATGGAGCCAGAAAACCTCTGAATCCAGCAGCCTATACGAGCCTCTCTAGGACAGACCACAGCAGCCTTTCTCACAGAGATATATCAGACTGGTCACTTTCATTATGGAGGAGTATTAGCACTGTATAGTGTTTCACTGGTGCTGGTGAAGGTATGAGAACTCAATGCTGCCAGAATATCAACAATCTGCAGGTTTGGTCTCAGAGAGCAAGTTCATTTCAGCCAAACAGCCACGAAGAACAAGCGATTCTTTTTCCAGTGTCAGAAAAAAAATTTACATAAATTATACAGAATCCACTCTTTTCAGGAGACTCACATTGAGTTCCTCAGAGAATCTGCAGACACACCTCCAAAGTTCAGTCTTAGAAGCTGGTTGATCATTTTCTGAAGTAATCAAACACATTCAGTGGTGTTGAGGTCTGGACTCTGGGGTGGTCAGTCCATCGTTCAGCTTCTTTGTTTGATGTGTCCGTCTCCTTTTCTCAGTGAGGTTCTTCTTGAACAGCTACACATCCTTTCAGACCCACAGCGCTGAGTCGTCTTCTCACAGTGGAAGGATGGACAGAAACACCTGTGGATGTTTTCAGATCTGAAGCAGCTTGATTTTCTCCTCTCTCTCAGAGATGAAAGCTTTAAGTGCTGTTTATCTGACGGGGGCAGTTTTAGAGTCGACCAGGTCTTCCAGGTGGTTGTTAGGAGGAACATTTTCTCTGTAGCTCTTAGGTTTTTAGACTTTCTCCTTCATAATGTAAGTGGATTATCTTATCCCCTCACAAACATCTCCAGAACAAACATCTCCTGCACGGAACTGTGTGTGTATATATATGAAGAAAACCTCCTTTTTTGACGTTTTCAGTTTTTGATATAATTTCAAAGTACCTGTCACCCTTTACATTGTATATAAATTTCATGATGAATGGACCAAAATAAACGACCCAAAATGACTTGGTAAAAACGTCTGGTTCCATTGACTTACATTAAAAGTGAAGTATGTTTTTTCCTTCTCCTGTAAAGTTACCATTTTGGAGATACAAGGTTTTCTTCCGACTATATATACATATATATATACACACACATTCTCCTCACCTCTTCTCTGAACTTGCTGAAGTCTGCGAAGTGAGGCTGCTGCACGGCCTGCTGGGAGTTTTCTGCTCCCGGGAGGAAGTGGGACATCTGCTAAAAGAGAAGAGCTTCATTAATAAAAGTGATCATCACATTTACATTATTTGGTGTGTGAAGTTTGCTTCTTTCGTTTTGCACTGGGGCCACGCGGCTAGTGTAGCTAACAGATAATGAAAGTCTATACCCCACTGTGGCATGCGCCCACCCCCGACGATGAAGGCTGCGAGAGCCAGCGGGAAGGCGGGGCCCGAACACCAAGCGGCGACGAACCTCATCGAGGAGGGAACCCCCACGAGTGGGACACTAGTCACGTGAGTGACAGCGGGAGGAGGACGAGGACGATGGCGCCGGCCACGAGAGGCACGAGGCCATGGAGCGAGTCCCGAGCTCCGTCGCCCGGGCCCCGCCCCCTGTTCCACAGCGAGGCCGCTTCACGATACCTCACGTTCGACCTGGGTGGCCGAGCTGCGAGCTGGGGGCGGTGACGGGGAGGGGGAGCGACGATCTCTCGTTCCCTCTCGGCTCAGGTGACTTTTCATGCAGTCGAGTGAAATCTGAACATGATCTGATCTCTGAAAACTCATCTTGATGTGAGGTGTAACAGCCTTATCATGCTGTACTGCTGTCTCTGGGTCCTCTGGGTCTCACTTTATTAGATAGTCCACTACAGATGACCTACAGATGTTCAAACTGTTAACAAACTATCTGCTAAACAGTGGTGGGGTTTGGGTTAGGATTTGGACCAGGGTGAGGGTTGGGTTTAGGTTCTGGGCTGAGGTTAAGGGTAGGGTTAGGATTAGAGCAGGTTCAGAGTTGAAGACAATTATGGTCAATTTAGCAGATATTTAGGTGTAACTTCAAAGTAAACTGAGTATCTACACAGCATCTGTAGTGGACTATCCAAATGAAGTGTTTCCACCTTTTCTCACCAGGCAGAGGAGAAAAAAATGCCTAACATGTTTTCTCTTTCTTTGTTTTTAGCAAACTTATGAATTAGTATTTCTAAATAATGACTTATTTTCTCAAAATATGGACTTACAATTTTGAAATTATTTTAGCGACGCATCTTGAACTCCACAGAAAATAAAACATCATTTTAAGATTCTAAGCAATTATTTTGAGATGTTAAATCTACATTTTGAGAAAATAAATCATTATTTTGAGATACTAAGTTAATATTTTGACATATTGCTGCTAGAAACAGAGATCAAAGTTGTCTTGGCTGGTCAACTATATGTGGGGTTTGTAGGGGCGGGGTCTTCATTGTTGTTAGGTTAACTATCGCTTTAATAGTCTGAATTAAGCATGAAAAAAAAGATGTTTAAGCTCGGATGTTTCAGTGCTTTATTTATTCATGTGTTCTTCTCTACTCTGTGTGTTTCTGATGTTTGCAGAAGGTTCTTGTTCTTGCTGAGGAGGGTTTTACCTGTGAGGCTGGAGGTCGAGGGGGCAGAGCAGGAGGAGGGGGCAGCCAGCCGCTTTTACCGCCTACAAAAGACAAAAACACAGGCATGTTTATAAAGCAAATGCAGTGTTTCAGAAGCAGTGCAGACGGTTTTTAACTGACGCCCAACTGTGTTTGATCCAAAACATGTTCTGTTTTTCATTGTTGGACCTGTATGTACAGCAGCCAGGTTCTCCTGTTAGGAGAACTGAGTAAAAGTCGGTGCTCTGCAGTGACTGGAGGAGTTTCAGTACAGTTTTACTCTCTGTAGGAGTTTCAGTACAGGTCTTACTATCAGTGTCTGTCTGAAACACTGTCAGAGAGGCTCCTGACAGGGTGCAGAGTTCAGGTTTTAAAGAGTTTAATCCTCGTTTGTCCCACAAATGCCTTGAAATGCCTCTCGTTACACTGCGGGGAAATATTTGCCGTAGCTTATTGAAACAAGTGGAGATAAAACTTTGTGAATCTATACCACATCTGCGTTTGTGAGTAGAAGAGGAGATATTTTATTATGATTTGAATTTATGAACGTTATTGTTGTGTGTACAGCTTTTACAGTGAGGAGAAACAAGCATTTAGACTCTTTTGTTTCTGTTATTTAATATAGTCCCAATTCAATTTTGGCCCATTCCTCTAGGCAGATCGTTTCCCCCGCGGTTATGAGGACACTGTGGATGGATTTGCAGTTTCAAACCTAACCCATAAATTCTAAATGGGACTCAAGTCAGGAGATTAGCTAGGCTGTGTAAGCACCTTCACTTTTTCCTTAGTTATTTTTGTTGTATGTTTTGGGTCATTGTCTTGTGGAAATGTCCACAAGATCGTAATCTTATGAGATTAAATTCTCCTCTAACATCTCCCGCAACATCTCTGCGTTCATGTTTCCTTCTGTGACGTGGAATGCCAGCACTGTTTTCAGATAAGCAGCCCACATCATGATACTGCCACCATCATGCTTCACTGCAGGTGCTCTGATCTGATGTGCAACCCTTCTTTCTCCAAACATGATAAGTTGGATTATTACCAAAGAGTTCTATTTGTATTGAATCTGACCAGAGTACATTGTTCTGAAAGAACTTTGTCTAAATGCTTATAAATTTTAAATGCCAGTCGGAGGACTTTTGGTAGGAACGGAGATGATTGTGGTGCAGTTAACTGCTGTGGAACTGTAGCTCTTGCTTTACGATCAGATGTGGTTCCATGACTTTCCCACTCGCATATTATAGAACCAACTGTGCCGACGAGGACGTTTAATGTCTTGTTAGGGCTTTTTACAGTCAAGTGTTGTTTGATAATGTTCTCCCTGAGAACTTCAGGAAGCTCCGTCACATTCACCATGATCACTACTTGTTGTGTAAAATTTTTCCAATGAATGGCAGCTTCTCTTATAATGACACCTGGTAAAATTTGCACAAGAACCTTTGTATGGAACAGTATCAATAAGTGTTTCTTTACCTTGTCCGCTCTGCTGGAGGAGCTTGTTGAGGTCGAGTGAGGAGGCACGCGAGTGGGTTTTCTGAGGACGTGGTGGGGGGGTCGGAGGCTCCTCAGCTTTCTTCATAGCATCGTCTATAGAGGTGCTTGAATAAGATCTGTGGAAGACACCAACACATACATTTTAAACAGCTGCTATTGATTTACAAAGGCTTTTCAGAGAGACAACACTAAAACCACTACTAACATTCACCCCTTAACATTTAAATTTGTGCATAATTAAGGCATTAAGATGTAAACAAGGTCATTCAGAGTGGTTTGGTGTGAAACACTCCGTTCTAGAGAAACTTGCTGAGTCAGAACTGTTCACAGTGGTGGTGATAGGAACCAGACGTCCACCTCTAAAAGCTCCCTCACAGAAAGTTATTACATGAGATGGTTATGATTACACTGCCTGATGTCTGAGACGCTGTTTTACGGTAGTTTTGAGAAATATTTTGGCCTAAAACGTATATTTTAATACATTCAAGGCGCACATGTACATGCAGGGTGTTATCAGGCAAAATAGTCCCAAAAAAAACATATTATTTTCAGATTTATCTCTATTTTACCATCATCAACATTCCGTATAAACACTCAGAAGACTCGTGTAGGTTCACTAGAGGTTTTGGATAGTAAATAAAATGTCTATATTTCTGTTGTAGTCATGGCGACCCCTGGTTCCTATCACCACCACTGTAAAGACATCTGAACCATTTCACACCAAACCACTCTGAATGACTCTGTTTACATCTCAAACACTGAATTATGCAGAAATTGAAAAAGAATGACGGTAAAGCGTCGGTTTAAGTACAGATCTTACACATTAGTTTCACATTAAATACTTTATAGCATTTAGATGTGGTTAAGACTTACAATCTCAAGGCTTAACATTAAATAACTTTAATAATAATAAATAAAGAGTTAATATAGTCCATAATGCTGTAGGTTACCTGGGTCTCGTTCTTGACTTCATGTTAAGGTCCAGCTCATGGGGAGGATCTGAAACACAGTGGATGCTAAAACTGTAAGCAGCAGTAATAATAACAGTGGAGTGAACTTCTGCAATGGGACTTCTGCAATAGAACCACATGATCAGATAAGCAGTCGCTAGAAAAACCATCAGGAGCAATGCAGCTTTTTTACCTCTAGCACACAACTAGATATCATAGTACATTTTATATGTAAGAAAAGCATAATTTTAGCTTATATTTTAGTCTATATCACTCCGATGGCCCAGAAAGATCTAAACTATGATGCCTGATATTAGTGCTTGGACCCCTGTAATTGCTTTTGGCCATTCTCCACCAAAATCACTGCTTCCAGATGCTCCCAGACGTTCTTATATCACTCCCCTCTTCACAGACTTCAGTCTCCTCCACAAACCCCACTATGCACTGGGGCATAGAGAAGAAGACCCCTGCTGACCTTTGACGCTTTGTCCCAGATAGACCGAGAGATAACGCTTCATAAGGTCCCTCTGGGAAGCCGTGTGTGTTTCTGTAACATGTTCAGGCCAAAGCAATAACGTAGAGGAACTTCAGAAGAAGCGCCAGATATTTGTTTATTCCAATATCTCTGAGCTACGATGAAAGTGATACGGATGAAAGTGAAGTCCCGGAATAACAGAAGAGGATCTAGAGGACCAAACGAAAGGTCAGCAGAGGATCCAACAGGATCTGTGTTTATGAAGCAGCTACAAATACAGCCTTTGATATCATGTGGAGCGCGTTCAACAACACTCGGCCGCTTTATTAGAAACACCTACTGTCTGCTTCCACTCACTGGCCACTTTATTAGAAACACCTACTGTCTGCTTCCACTCACTGGCCACTTTATTAGAAACACCTACCGTCTGCTTCCACTCACTGGCCACTTTATTAGAAACACCTACCGTCTGCTTCCACTCACTGGCCACTTTATTAGAAACACCTACCATCTGCTTCCACTCACTGGCCACTTTATTAGAAACTCCTACCTTGTGCTTCCCATCTCTGGCCACTTTATTAGAAACACCCACCTTGTGCTTCCACTCACTGGCCACATTATTAGAAACACCTACCGTCTGCTTCCACTCACTGGCCACTTTATTAGAAACAAACACCTTGTGCTTCCACTCACTGGCCACATTATTAGAAACACCTACCGTCTGCTTCCACTCACTGGCCACTTTATTAGAAACACCTACCTTGTACTTCTACTCACTGGCCATTTTATTAGAAACACCCACCTTGCGCTTCCACTCACTGGCCACTTTATTAGAAACACCTACCTTGTACTTCTACTCCCTGGCCACTTTATTAGAAACACCGACCTTGTATTTCGACTCACTGGCCACTTTATTAGAAACACCAACCTTGTATTTCGACTCACTGGCCACTTTATTAGAAACACCAACCTTGTATTTCGACTCACTGGCCACTTTATTAGAAACACCAACCTTGTATTTCGACTCACTGGCCACTTTATTAGAAACACCAACCTTGTATTTCGACTCACTGGCCACTTTATTAGTATAGCCTGTACTTCTACTGAATAATTCACAGCAGATACTGAATAATTTAAAGAGCTACTGAATTTTTAAAGTAGATACTGAATGATTTATATTAATTACTCAATAGATAAAGAATAATTCATAGAAGTAAATAATGAGCCTTAAGGTTAAAAACTGACTAATACACTGAAGATCAAAGGGTTTAAGTTTGATTTAAATAGAAGCAGCACTTAGAGGTGACTGTTCAGTGCTGACCTGTTATTCTATATCACACAATGTAAAATAAGGCTTTACTCTGACTGTGTTTTTCATGACTGGTCAGGCTGTGACTCAGTGGGCGGTCAGTGTTCGGGCTAACGTGCTGCTTCCGTGTTACCTGGTTTTAAAGTGCTGCTCTGCAGTGTTGGCTGCTCTGCTGGCTGGTCTTGGGGAGCAGCTGCTCTCTGAGGACTGAATTCTGCTGACACAGCACAAACGCAGTCATGCAGAAGATCAGAGAACACACACACACACACGCAAACACACACACACACACACGCAAACACACACACACACACACACACACACACACACACAGAGAGACAGAGAGAGATATTGAGAGATGAGTTAGATGC